AAGTGTTCTAGTCACTACTAAATAAATTGAAATACATTAAGCACCTAAGACCGTTTGAGAGAGGCTAAGCTCCTAACTATCATTAATTACTGTTCTCAACATTTTAAGCGTCAGCAGGTGGGAAGAGGGAGGAAGGGGGAACTAGCTTGGCTAACCTGGTTCTGGAAAAGATAATCCGGTGGGTTCAGTAGAGAAGGCAAACTAAGACCAGGTTCAGGCAATTATCAGTAACTCCAGGGGACAAAGCAAGCAGAGAATAATCATATCTAGATGGTGGATCAAAGTCAGGGCTCTTGAGCATTTGACTTACTCCAACAGTCCCAGCAAGAAGGGTGGAAAGAAAAGCTGGCAAAGAGCAAGACAGGGTAATTAAACCCCAGCTAAAGGTGCACGTCTTCAGTCCTAATGAGGAAAACTGAGGCACAAGGTGGCTGTTGAATAAAGGAAGGAAGGAGAGAAAAGGTTGTGATGTAGGAGACCTTGTGAGCTCTCAGATCCCTGCTGTAGCTCAGGAGATCATTACCAGCCCAGCCAGTTCTGGCCACCAGGGACTCCAGCACTCAGAGCGCAGCTCCACGCAATGTGGTCATCTGATGGCCAGGGAGACCACTGGGTCAGTGCGCCAGTGTCTGAGGGATATAGGAGCAAGAATATTCCCCAACAATGATAAGGGCTTGAACTTAGAATACAAAGACTCTTCCTAACTATCTTAAGAAAAACATGTGGTATCTCTTATCAAACCTGGTTTGTTCTTGGAAGAGAGCTCCTGCCTGTTTTTCTTAACTGCTGGAGAAAAACGAAATGCAAAGGCTTGAACGTAAGAAGTAAAATTACTTGGCCTGCAGATCTCATGGAATTTTCCCAAATCATTCACCAAATTTAAAATGTTTCAGGCTTAAACTGGGACTCATTTGTTTCTTTTAATTTAGAACAACCTTGAATACTTGAACCCTGTTATAAACTGTGTTGCCAGAAGTCTCTAAGTTTATACTGCAAATTTCCTGTCATTTGTAGGCATGCTCTACTCACAAGGAAGGGATGGGGATCTATATCTGAGATAGGTGGCAGTTTTTCTAAACTTCTGGTTTTTTACTTGCTTGTAAGATTTTCATTGAACACCTCTTTATGGTACAGTTCCAAGTATCTACTGCTCCTGTACAAATCCCTGCATGATTTTGGTCTCTGCTTTGAGCTTATTAAGCTTGTTGTTTCTGCTGCCTTTGCACCAAGTGTCCATATAAGGCTTCCTTAACTTCAGTTGTGTGTCACAGGATTCATCCATGCCTCAACTCTGAAATGAGTTCTGTAAAGGAATTTGCTCTCTTTGCTGATGGAATTAACAGTAGCACACCATTTATTTTTATTTTTTAAAAATGTTTACTTATTTTGAGAGGTGGGGAGGGGCAGAGAGAGGGAGAATCCCAAGCAGTCTCCTCCCCACTGTCAGTGCAGAGCCTAACACACAACTCGACCCTCAAAACTGTGAGATCATGACCTGAGCAGAAATTAAGAGTTGGACACTTAACTCACTGAGCCACCCAGACAGCCCTCTTTTTATTTTTTTTCCAAGAGGAAAGGCTTCAAAGAAGTCTGAAGTTTGAAAAATTGGAGAAAATGGCTCATAGTTTATAGATTAAAATACTTACAGATTATTCCTTAAAAAAATTTTTTTTACATTTATTTATTTTTGAGAGAGCGAGACAGAGTGTGAGTGGGAAGGGACACAGAGAGAATGCGACACCGAATCCGAAGCAGGCTCCAGGCTCTGAGCAAGAGTTCAGCCTGACGCAGGGCTCGAACCCACGAACCGTGAGATCATGACCTGAGCTGAAGTTGGATGCTTAACCGACTGAGCCACCCAGCTGCCCCACTTACAGGTTATTCCTTTCATTGTGGATTACAGGCTTGCTTTTTAAAGTTGACTTCATGGTCCTCTGGTGATCAGAAGAATAACTTATCACTCTTCTTTTTCCAATTAAATTTTAGCTTATTTTTTTAAGAGGGTAGGGGCAGAGGGAGAGGAAGAATCTTAAGCAGGCTCCCCACCCAGCATGGAGCCCCCCACTTGGAGCTCAATCTCCCAACCATGATTTTGTGACCTGAGCCCAAATCAAGAGTCGGCGATTTAACCCACTGAACCATCCAGGCGCTCCTATCATACTTCTTATAACTATATCTGAAATAGCATCCAACTTCCTTTTGGCACCAAAATTTCAATATAGGTACAAGATCTGAGAAGATGGTTTGGGAGCCAATGGGAAAGATGATTACTTAGTGAATCTCATCAAAGCCCATTTTGAAAATGTGCTGTTGGGGCACCTGGCTGGCTCAGTTGGTGGAGTGGGTGACTCTTGATCTTGGAGTTTCAGGTTGAAGCCCCATGTTGGGTGTAGAGACTACTTAGGACTAAAATCTTAAAAAAAAGTGTTTTTTTGAGTCATAGTTATATGGGTCTAAAATTTTATATAAATAAGTAATTAAAATTTTCATTCAGCATTTGCATAGTTTTACTTTTATTACCACCTATTAACAGAATATAAAATGTTCTCAGTAGTAATTTTGGCTTTAAGCTGGCTTTCTTTGTGAGCTTTATTAGATTGTACTGGCCTAAAACCAGCTAGAAAAGACTCTGTTCTAGCTGATTTATTGGTTTTACATTCACTGAGTCAGAAGCTTTTATAAAGGCTTATTTTGTAGATAAATCATATTGTGGGCTCAACACTTTTATGAGTACCACCTTTCATTATAAAAACATTCTCTTTTGGTTCCATTAACGAATAATTTTTGTTATAAAGTAAACATTGGTTGATTTATTCTTGGTTATTGAGTACAAAGTGAATGAGCAAGAAGTGTGTGTGTGAGTGTGTGTGTATTTTAATGGACTAGAGTAAATGTAAATGGTTTCCTTGAGTTATCATGAAAATATGTTTACAATGGCATTTCCAGACCAATGGTAAGAGTGGGTCATAAACCAGAGATGATTATAGATTTTCATTCTGTGCTCCTGAGGTCTAGTTTATTTTTATTTTTTATTGTTTTAAATGTTTTATTTATTTCTGAGAGAGAGAGCACACGTGAGAGAGAGCGTGTGAGAGCGCAGGGGAGGGTCAGAGGGAGAGGGAGACACAGAATCTGAAGCAGGCTCCAGGCTCTGAGCTAGCTGCCAGCACAGAGCCCAATGTGGGGCTCGAACCCACGAACAGCAAGATCATGACCCGAGCCGAAGTCTGACACTCAACTGAGCCACCCAGGTGCCCCTATTTTTTAAAATGTTTATTTATTTTGAGAGAGAGAAAGAGAGAGAGGAAGAGGCTGTGAGGGGGGAGGGGCAGAGAGAGAGAATCCCAAGCAGGTTCCGTGCTGTCAGGCTGATGGCACAGAGCCTCAGGTGAGCCTGATCCTACGAACCATGAGATTATGACCTGAGCTGAAACTGAGAGTTGGACACCTAACTGACAGAGCCACCCAGGTGTCCCTTTATTTTCTTATTTTTAAAGATTTTATTTTTAAGTAATCTCCACACCCAACACACTCATGACTCCTAAATCAAGATTCTTCACTGACTGAGCCAGCCAGGTGCCCCTCCTGAGGTCAATTTTAAAAAATAACATATACACATGATGTAAAAGAGAGAACCCTAAATCCTGTGTATATAGTGTATGTATTTGCATGTGTACACAGCAGTCATGAAGCAATATTTAAGTTCACTAACCTAAGGAACTTAAAATTGTGGAATTCCAGCAGACATGCCAAAGAGAAGGAAGAGAAAAAAGTGAACCAAGAAAACCTGGCAGTATTATTTCCTCCTGTTCAGGGTTGCTGGTAAAATGGTAACCAGAGGTTTTTATTACATACAACTAAAAAGGGCCAATTAAAGTGTGGGAAAGGTTTCCTTTGCAGAGTCCGATGCTAGGCAGGGAAATACAGTGTCACAGAAATCGCCATAGCAAGTTTCAGTAAAGGATTGTAGAACAAAGAGGCCTTGTTAATCCCATACTGGTTTATTCAAATAGTGTGTAATTCAAAGCAATTGCTGCTCCCCAGGCAGGAATTTACAATTGCTACATTGGATGGGAGGACGTGTGTCATTCCAAGGCAAAAGCAGGTCTGGAAAGGGCCTGGTGGCTGGAGAACCGCCTAAATCCCGAAACAGCTCGCGAGCAGGCCAAGTAAAACAAACAGGCGGAGAACCACCCTGTGAAGTCAGTCTGCCTCCCGAGCTGAGCTGTATTTCCTTTGCTCTTCTTCCTGCCTTTCTGGTGGATTGCAGAAGGTCCCCAGAGCAAGGAGCAAGGGGGAGAGGGCAAAGAAATTCAAGTCCTGGACCTGCTATCACTTAACTTCTTGCCCTTCCTGGCAAGGGCATACAAGTTCATTCATGAGAATGCATGTGTGTGCAGCCTGTAGGTCTATAGGATTGATAATGATGGTGAATCCAGAGCATCCTCCCTTGGCATAAAAACATTGGGCAAGAGTCAGACGTGAGTCAACGGCAAGAGTAGGCTTGAATCTTAGTACATTTTGAACAGTGTGGTCAACAGTGTTTCAGAGAACAGTCTTCCAGCTTTATGTGGTCATTTTCATGGAATCTGAACAGTTTAAAATCGCATGATTTTTAAAAACTCTGCTTTGAGTCCAGTGATGGACCAGGGACGCCAAGCTCTGTCAGTCTCCCAACAACACTATGAGGCTAGCTAATTAGGGAAATAAAAAAAAATGGGAGGAGGGTGGCAGGGGGGGTGGGTTGAGGTAAAACCATTATGTAGAACTCACCTTAAATGGGGCAGGTTGTGTTTGACCAGAGAGCTGCCTGTTAGACTCAGGAAGTTTTTAAGAAGAGAGACGTGTAGATGAGACCTTTCAGCAGATCTGGATTCACAAGATCTTTTCATGGTGTGGGATTCTGAGCCGCCGTTACATGTTGTAGCATGCACTTAGCTTTAAAGTGCTGCTAGGGCAGAGGCATTTATTTAGCATATGTATTTTTCCATCTATCCCAGCCCCTCCGGACTTTGTTCTGTCCAGCCACTAAGACAGAAGTGACACAGGGCCCTTCTAGGCAGAAGCACAGAAGAACACGTGTGAATTCCCCATGTCTCGTCTTCTCTTGCCAGGACGCTGGAGACCCGTACCCAGTGCTACAGCTCCTAATGTCAGAGCCTCTGTCAGCCAGAGTTCTTAGGAGGATCCCACAGTCTCCACCACCAATGCACATCCGTCATGTAAGGAAAGCAAGAATACATTTTACTATGTTAAGCTAAGATTCTGGACTTCATCTGTTAATTGCGGCATAGGCTAGGCTAATTAAGCTGCTCTTCTAGATCTTTTTGGTAGAAAAAGAAACTCCATCTGGAGAGAGGATGAGCCATCAGAGTTAAGCAATTCTTGAACAAGGCCCTGAGGCTTTGCCAGACTGCCTTTGCGTCATGTACTCCCCAAAGTCATTCCGCGCCATTGTCGGTCACTGTTCTTCAGGGACTGGTGAAAGAGGAAGTGAGGAGGAGCCCTAGTCAGTGGGGGTTGACATCTGACAGTTCCCTTCTGGTAGTTTCTCTTCTTATTCACAACCTCCTCTTGGGATTTTAGGCTTGCTTAACATACGGTACAAATCAGTGAAATTATTCATTGTGGTTTCCATTTGAGTGAGCTAGTTTCCGCTCCTAAGAAGGGTCTTAACAAAACAGGAAGTTTTTCTTGGATCTAGAAATGGGACTCTGCCTTCTGATACTAGTTTTTACCAACTTCTGTAAATCTCTTATTTTTCCTACTTCCCTGTCAGAAGGTGGAGCAAAGAAGAGTAGGTGTAACTAAAAAATGCTGATTTGGTATGGTATTCGGTTTGGTGGTTTGGTTTGGAGGAGAGGTAGATAACAAAATGACAACCTGCCCAGGCCAGACCACATCCTCTCATCTGACAGCTTTATCTCCTCTCATCTGACAGCTTTATCTTCTACCTCTTCCTCCACTTTGGCCTTGGCAGAGGTGTGAAGGGCCAAGGAACACTTTGATTAGTAGACACTCCTTGATAGTAATCCTTGATGTTTCCCAGCTGACAGTCCTCAAAAGATTTTGATAAGCATCACCCATTAGATTCCACTCTGGGTGAGTGGGTGGGGGGAACAGGGTACATGTCTGTCTTATTGTAGAGGGCACCCAACTTCAAATACCCAAGAATATTTTTTTTAACTTAAAAATTTTAACATTTATTTATTTTTGAGAGACAGCATTAGAAGGGGAGGGGCAGGGGGAGAGGGAGGCACAGAATCTGAAGCAGGCTCCAGGCTCCAAGCTGTCAGCTCAGAGCCTGACGTGGGGCTCAAACTCACAAACCTTGAGATCATGATCTGAGCTGAAGTCGGCCACTTAATGATACATAATGATAGATCATGTATCATTACCACCATCATGTAATATAAATTCCCACCCTGAGATTCAGTATCTACATTTGTATCAGGCAAGTCTATCGGGAAAGACTTCAGATTCCTGACATCCTTATCACTAGTGGTTAGAGTCTAAGGATGCTAATTTTTTTTTTCCTCTCAAGTTTTTTTTTTTTAAGTTCCAGTTAACATGCAGTATAGTACTAGTTTCAGGTGTACTGTATAGTGATTCATAAGGAGGCTAATTCATAAAATTCCTGCTGACTCGTATCTGCTAGACATTCTCTACTCTGTACTTTTCTTACCTAGTAACAGAATTTTTAGCCAGATACATGATCACCCCAGTTTCCCAGCTCCCCTTGCAGCTTGATATGGCTTAAGCTGGGAGTAGAAGTTGATGTATACACCATCCAGTTTGTTGCCCTTAGAGAATAACGCTGTCTCCCTTCCTGCAGGAATGTAGATGTGAGCTGGAGCTGCTATTTTGGACTACGAAGCAGAAGGCATGTATTGGGAGTGGCAGCACAATGAGAGAAACGGAAACTGGGCCCCTGACACAGCTGAACTGCCGCTGCATTTTGGCATCTCTTTGTTAGTTGTTGAACTCATATCCCAAGTAATACCGGACCTCATTTACTAGAACCGTGCTCCACCTTTCTGGCCTGAAAACAAATGTGCTGTCTGGAAAGAGCACACAACTGAGTTAGTCAAGCTTTCTGTGTTTATGGGAGCAAGTGTCCAATTCTACCTCAGTGATCAAGAGTGAGTCTTTCATCCAGACAAGACCTGCTTGTAAGGATGGTGAAAAAGCCATGGAAATTGATCTAGCATTTACAGTAGACCATGTATACTTGGGCTCTCCCCCTACACAATTCAGAATTTGTGCATGTGGTGCCAAGGGATTTATGTAGGAGGGCTGCCTCAACAAGTCACCTTGCTAGGTAGCCTCTCCAGCGATATGGTAAATTATTCTTAGGAACACAAAATAGGCTTCCCTTCTGAGCGGTGTTGCTCAGGGCCTGGACTCCAGCCACAGTCTGTGACCTTCCTGGGTCATGCTGCACCTCTTAATAATCTATAACCAGAATGTCGTAACTTAAAGAGAGGTCGATGAAGCTCTCCTAAACCCAAGTGAATTAGCAGCCCCAGTCTACTCATGAAATGCTAGATGTATCTTAGAATTCCTTCACAACTTCCAAAGTTACCCTCTGATGCTAACCGTGGTCAAGACACTTGGTATTTAATTTTTCCTGGTGTTCAAAAAGGAGGAATCTAAAACTCACACAGCAGCGTCAGGATTTAAACCTTCCTCTGAGGTGAAGTCCCAGTTTGTTTGCAGCCCTGAAGCAGCAGAGTTAGTCCAGAGGCTGGAAAAGTCATTGGACAGCATTCCAGCCCCGTCAGCATCTTCACTGAGTAGCTTTGTTATTTGCTGTAAACAATGGTAAATTCCCAGAACCCCAGACACACCCATATAAAAATGTTAGCTACCAGAATGCCTGGTAAAACCAAATGTAAATGAACAGGGAATTGAAGTCCCTTTGGAATTCTGTCTAGGGATAGAACTGACAAGATTTAATTTTTCTTAAGTTACAGTTAATCAGATCTTTCAAACCTGACCACTTCTGTTATTTCCTGAAATTTCTGAGGTACCAAGAAAATGATGCTTGATGCTGTGCTTCAGCTGCTTTTCCAACAGAAAACCAATTTTTCTGTGGGAGGAATTGAAGCTTGTTTAAATAATCGAACTTCTTTAGGCCCCCAGTTTTGTTGAAACTCTTGGAGAGAACACACATATGGACACACTCAGTGCTTCTGGTTTCTAAACGTTCCAGAAACCATAGCTTCTGGTGAAGTGTCCTGCTGGAACAGCAGGCTTTAGAAAACAACAAAAATTCCACTGGGATGAAAGAGGCTCATTTGTTTTCAAGTTGCGGCCCTTGAATCCTCTGGAGCGCGCACCCCCCCCCCCCCCCCCCCCCCCAGCAGTGTCTGTGGCTTTGATTTATAATCTTCCACCGACACAAGCCTTGGCATTCACTGGGATCCTATAATGAGGTTAAGGTGTGAACCTGGGAAATCGTTTAAGGACAAGGGCGGGTTGGGGGAAGAGGGGGAGGGTTAAAGAGACGAAAAGCAATTAGGAGACCACATGCTTGGCTTACATGAATGAGCCCAAATGGTGGAAGGCCCGCCTGATGGAAGGGCTGTTGAATGTGGTTTTGGCGTCCCAAACCATGCCTTTGCCTCCACAGCACAACCTCTGGTGGGAAGAACTCTTTGCCTAATGCACTGTGACCAGGAAGGCCAGTGTGTGAACACCCCTCCCTCTTTGTCAAGATTCCTCTTATATGCTTGCAAAGCCAGATCTCCGTGTTCCCAGCTGTAAGGCTTGGGATTTGCAGTATAACCCCTGGGGGGTGGGGTAAATAATAGCAGCTGCAATCCCTGCCAGAAAAGAACTTGATGCCCCAGCTTGGGGGTTTAGTGCATGATGAATGCAAAATATTTTCTGGAAGAGACAATGAGAAACCCCATGGGTCAACCATGGAAAACTGCAAGGTGCCAAGCCTATGTGAGCCATCCTGGGTCCTAATAATTAATAGGGCAGGGCTAGATAGGTGGGCATTGTTGAAAAGGAAGAAGCCTCATAACTGAGGTCTTAGTGCCTGAAGGCAGTTACAAGAGTCTCCTTGCACTTCTGAAGTTGCATAACTCACAGTTCTCCCTTTCTGGAAAGTGCTTCTGATGTGATGTTCAGGCCAGGGGCTCTAGAAGCTGACTCAGGTTGGAAGTCTGGCTCTAACACTTAATACCCTCTACTGGATTGAGGTTGTGGGAGTCAGAAGTAATGTATGTCAAGTACTCCTAAAAGTATCCAAGCTTATAACAGAGGCTCAAATTAATGACTAGCTGGTTGCTGTTCATGAAGAAAATTAATCTGGTTTAGCATGGAGGCAGTGGAAGGGAAGGAGAAACAATAAGAGATCCAGAGGAAAAATAGCATGGTGACATTTATTTTATTAAAAAAATTTTTCATATTTATTTTTGAGAGAGACAGACCGGCGTGGGGGGTGGGGGTGGGGGATGTGAATAGGGGAGGGGCAGGGAGAGAGGAAGAGAAGTCGAAGCAGTCTCCAGGCTGTCAGCACAGAGCCCAACATGGGGCTCACAAAACTCATGAAACCCACTAACCACCTATGAACTGTCTGAGCTGAACTCAACCAATTAGCCATCCAGGGAGCCCAGCCTGGTGACCTTTAATATATGCAAAACCAAACAAAAGCCCCAGACAGGTAGTCAGGCTCTTGGGGGAACTCAGGAGGTAGAGAGGTTAAGCATCAAAATCCATGTCTGTCGGGGCACCTGGGTGGTTCAGTGGGTTAAACGTCTGACTTCAGCACAGGTCATGATCTCATGGTTCAGGTTCGTGGGTTCGAGCCCCGCATTGGGCTCTGTGCTGACAGCCAGCTCAGAGCCTGAAGCCTGTTTCAGATTCTGTACCTCCCTCCCTCTCTGACCCTCCCTTGCTAATGCTGTCTCTCTCACAAATAAATAAAACATAAAAAAAATTAAAATCTATGTCAATGCAGGAAAAGAACTACAGGTGGTCTCCTAGAATGTCTGGAAAGAGAAACTATCCGACTGTGTCAGAAGACAGAAAAAAATTTTTAAAGTTTTTTTTTGTTTGGTTCTTTTTTGTTTTTTTGGTAATCTCTATACCCAGTGTGGGGCTCAAACTCATGACCCAGAGATCAGGAATTGCACGCTCTGATTGAGCAGCCAGGTGCCTTGGAGGAAATAAATTTTGTGTAAGCAAAGCTGGAATTAATTGAGAACGGATGAGCATTCTGGAACCTACTACTCTCACTGATCTGCAAATCCCGATTCACATGGGTTCAGTAGCATCAATTATTCTCTCAGACTTGTAAACAAATCATATAAATACTGTCCACAGCTTGTTCAGAAACTAATCCAGAAAAAAGGAATTTGGAGCTTCCAGCTTTAAGTCTGAATCCAAATCTCCCAATTTTTAGATTATTATCTCTCTCTCTACATCTTACATTTTCTAAGATTTACCATATAACCACTTACCTTGAACATTAAAACAAATATTTTTAAGGGTGTGTAATTATAGGCACCATGAAGGATGCGAAAAATGTTTCCAGACTTGAGAACTGGCAGGAATGGTTTCAGTAAAATGAGACCAGAAATTAGAGTCATACCTAGGCTCTTATTTTCACAGTGCTCTTTTAACATTCTTCACATTTCCAAATTAGGAGATTCTAACAGATGAGTCAAGGTTGAATACTCTCTCCAAGCATGTTTAGTATTGCCTGGATCTATTTATATATATTTTCTAAAGCTAGAAATTATTGAGGTCCTCCTATGTACAGGGCATCCACATGACATGTAAGGGCTCACTTAGTCCTCAGAGGTACCATATATAGTTCTTGTGATTGTCACCGTTACTCTACAGATGAGGAAACTGAAGTCTGGAAATTAAGCATCTGGTGCAAGGTCACAGACTAGTTAGAGTGTTGTGGCTAGGAAGTTAGTTTAGGGACAGAGAGGGATAAATCTCTTAGGATGTCATGAAAACCGAATTCAATCACACTGTAATTCAATTTATTTTCTATTTATTTTTAATGTAGTCACTTTGCCCAACGTGGGGCTCAAACTCACAACCCCAGGATCAAGAGCTGCACACTCTACTGAGTAAGCCAACCAGGTGCCACAGGGAGAACGGAAAATCACATTTTCCAGCTACAGCTTAGCAAGTATAACCTGGCTTTTGTCATTAAAAACGATGCACTAGAGGGCGCCAAATACAAAAGCTGACTTTGAAACTGTTTTAGTCCTGCAGTTCCCACAGTGCTACAAGATATATAATCAGTAACAGCTTCAAGCCAAAAGAACATCCCAAAGAGTATGACGCACTTCATGATAAGAAGTTGTGTTTTCATTCCTCAACCAAAAAAAAAAAAAAAAAGAAAAGAAAAAAGAAAAAAAAAAAGACTCCTGCTTTATATTAAGCAATTCACAATGTGTTTCTACTTGAAGCTGTTATTTAAAAAGTATCTTTCAGGGGCGCCTGGGTGGCTCAGTCAGTTAAGCATCCGACTTCAGCTCAGGTCATGATCTGGAGGTTCGTGGGTTTGAGCCCCGGGTCGGGCTCTGTGCTGACAGCTAGCTCAGAGTCTGGAGCCTGTTTGGGATTCCGTGTCTCCCTCTCTCTGACCCTCCCCTGTTCCAGCTGTCTCTTTCTCTCTGAGAAATAAATAAAACATTAAAAAAGAAATTTAAAGTATCTTTCAGCTAGTTGTTTGCTCTAACTGCTGAGTGGTGAAGGGAAAGAGTATACTTGGAAAGGATAGGTTAATCAAGATGAAAATACATCTTAAAATATACATCACTGTAATTTTTATTCTTTTAAAATTTAGCAGAGTAAAACATGCATATATTTTTAAAAGAAAAAATCCATATCCAAGAGCTTAAAATGAAAAGGAAGACACCATCTTCCACCTCAAACTTGAGAGGCAATATCTTTTAGAGGTAACTCCAGATATCTAATTAATATTTATATTTCTTGATTTATCAAACTGATATCATGTCCTTTGAAAATTGAGGTGATAGCTAAAAGAATAGACCGCTAAGTAACAGTTTACAAAATAACTTTTCTATACCATTAG